AATAGGAAATTTTGTGTTAGTCTGTTAATTTTCTTATTTCAGTGCTCTAATAAATGACTTGATGTGATGCATGTTATATTTTATATGATTTTGCAATTTTCATATAAGGTCGGGGGGTTTTCGAAGTATTTCTGCTCATACTGGTTTTTTAGATGCTGATATCTGACACAGTCATTGCTTTCATTTGGACACAAAAAATCTGCTCTCAAAACATCTTTTCACAAATTTGTGTAGAGGTTTATCTCCTTCAAAAGCAAGTTCTTCTCTAACGGTAAAACTGCAAGTACACCAACGGGTAATCTCACACATTCCTAAAACGAATTTGCTTAGTGAAATATGACATATATAGTTGTCTGGGAGAATCTTGGATGTGATTCAATCTCCAGATATGAAAGGTAAAGACGAACCTAAAAAAAGATTGTGAAATGTGGGTAAGAGTTGAGTTAAATTGCGCGTATTGAGGCTAAGCTTAATTGAGGCTTTGCGTTCCCATATACTTCACAGGTGTATATTGCGATTATCATAAGAGAGAAGGGAAGAGCAGTAAGAGTGATTGTATTGAAGTCATGAAGAAGAAAAAGCATGTGAGAGAAGAGGTAACCTTCACACGGACGATTCAGTCCTGCGTCAAAAAGTAACCTAAAGCAGTGTCCGGGCGAATTTTTTCCTCTGGGTATTCTACCTTTTCTGGACCATCATGGTGTGCTAAATGAATAGCAACTTCAACCGTAAAATTTTCAAAAAAAGAAAAAAGAAAACAAAGATGGATCTCCTCTGGATGACAGTGGCGGCAGAGGGACAATTTCGAATTTTCGACTTTTGGTCCGATCGCATGCCTTTCTCGCTAGAGAGCACTGCTTTGGAGAGGAGTCAGCCATGAGCAGCGCCGTGGAAAAAACCTCTAGATGGGCGTGACTTAAAAAAGGCGGCTTGACCTAAATATCCGGAGCCATTTTCTCGCTTACCATGGCGAATTAATTGCCTGTTGTGTAGTAGCTTGGTGAGAGAGTTGGCTATCATAAAAAGTAGAATTTTTTGTTTTTTTGCGGACAATTTCTTTAACCCTTCTTTGGTTCAGAGTTTGTCATGTGGTAAACCACGGTGTATCACGTGATTTGAAGTTCTTATTTTGACTATAGCGTATACACTCTAATGTGCAGCTGAAGTTCGTCGAAAGACCAAGCTGCAAGTGTATTTCAGATATTCGCGTTGCAGCAAAGGCTGGGATATGCTATCTTGAAAGCTCAAAGTATAGATAAAGTACGGCTATGATCATTTTACTATTTGTACTAATGTATGTATTTGTACTTAATCCTTTGCTTATTCAGATACGCGAGATGTGCGGGCGTCAAGCTCATGCTGCTTCGTTACAGTTTGAGAATTAACAAGGGAAGGACACTTGGTCAAAGTGGCGATTCAAAAAGTGATACATATCGTTACAAGCAGTTTAAAACGCTGATTTTGAATCTACCTTCCATATCTGAGAAGCGACTTTCTGGAAGAAGTTACGGAAATTTAAGTCTATCAAAACTGACTTACAGCCTGGGTTTAATTACTCAAAAATTCACATTTGATCCAAAACAGCAGCGCGAAGGCTGATTAGATAAAATATCTTCATTAAAGTTTCATTTGCCTGTTGAGTCTGGTTGGGATTGATGTTGTAGAGCAGTTATTGACGAGGCGCACAGGCTGATTTCAACATAGAAAAGCTTCCATATCTTTTCCAGAGAAACGCTTCGCAGATATGGAAGG